AGATTTAGAAATGCAAAGACTAGCAAAAACTAACGATAAAAACCGACGTTTCGGTGTCATCATGACGCCATTGTCAAGGAGAAATAAAAATGAAGTTTGTGGCAAGGTGTAACACTAAATTAGCATAAATATGTTACGAGCTAATTAAACAAATACTTTTGCGCGAATTGAATCGCTTTGCACGTTCAGAGTGGGTTTTAAGTCTCTGATGAAAAGCATTTCGTTCACCAAACAATCGAACTTGTTACTACACTTTTTCAGAATGCTAAAACGTTTCAGTAGGTCTTTCGGGACTTCGCTGTGCCGTTCGTGGTAGTGTTTATATATTGAAGATGCCTTTCGTTTATGTCCATCCACGCGTGTGTGTAAGTGTCCGCGTGTATAGCCCACATAACCCGCATCACACAGGTCACATTGAAATTGATAAACGACGCGTTGTTGGTTGACAATCTGTGGCTTGATTTCTCGTACTTTAAGATCTTGGCCAACTTTGCGGCTAACAAATACTGGCTGGACAGTTGTCTGTACCTTCATGCTAAGATTCTTGAGCTCTTTCTTAACATAATTTGCTGATTCTTGATCTTTGAAAGGTATGACCACACGAACAATGGATATTGGTTGTTTGGGCGTCTGTGTGGGCTGCGTACCAACAATTCTTGATTGTAAGAAGGTGTTAATGGTAGAATTTACCAGGCGTTCCGGGTATTTAAGCGGTGCGAAAACTTTCTTTAGGCGATCACACTCATTAGAGAAATGGGCCCAGGAGGAAGATAATCGGTGTGCGCGATCCAGCATAGTTTTCAGCAAGCTCCGTTTGTAGCGATTGTCTACATGGCTTTCTAGTGCACCTCGGATTGAAACCAAGGTATATGTGAAACCAAGAAACACGGGCCTACTATTACACTACCAAAGCCATGTAGACAATCGCTACAAACGGAGCTTGCTCATGATGACACCAAAACGAGATGAGAATAATAAAATTATAATAACAAAAATTTTCAATTGACAGCTAAGACAGAGCCCCATTTTTAAGCTGCAGCCAGGGTTCTATCATATTACGATGACATCATGGAACACTTCTGTTTACATGGCTGGAACAAACGAAAGTCCAGCGCTATACCTGAGAGAGAAGAGTGAAGGTATTTGTGGAATTGAATTTACAATAGAAGATTAACCATTAAATTGTTCTGGATTGTAACTCAGCGACAGGAGACATGTGTCAGGATATTCAGCAATCTTCTATATCGATCAACCAGATGGTTAAAATAAAAATTAAAATAATGTTTCATTTTTAGTTTGGCTCATAAAAGATCCAAGGTTGTACTTTCCTCTTCATCAAGAGAAAAACGGGAAAAAATGGACCAAAGGAGGCAAAAAAGGAGGTAATGCAAAAGTTTACCTCTGGGGAGCCGTCATGGATCCCTCAAAGCTCCATATACAATTGCAAGTGGAAGATCATCCACAGTTTAAAGGTGTTTGCCTTGTCAAGTCAGAGGTAAATGTATGTTATCCTTAACTGTCAGGAGTAAGTTATATGTATCTCTAGTTCAAGCAGCTAGACGGGAGAATAGTGATTTAAACTTTGATTGTTTAAAGTAACACGGGCAACATCTTGTCGCGTTGTTTACTACTGTTATCTTTTCATAGACTTTGCAATATTCTCCAGTTCAACTTTCCCAGCTCTCTCAAATTGTGAGTAAATTCTAAAAAGGCGAAAATTTAGTTTTCCTTCGAAAGAAGCTCAAAAAAATTTTAGTCAATCAATTTTTCGTTTAATTAATTTTGAAATAAAAATCTTAATAAAAAGTTCACAGGGTGTCGTAAGTGTTATGTTTTCGGAGAGTCGTTCAATTTCTTTACTCAGTTCACTTCTTAAAAAAGAATATCCTTGCAGTTACCTGGGAAAGTTCTGGTTGTGCTCAATTCTATAAACAAATCGCAAAGCTTCTTTATCAAGATTTGTGTGCAGGACAAGTTCTTAAGATTATTCTCCTAGATTTTTTCTGCTACCTCTTTAAAAAAAAAAGATCAGAGCTCCTCTTACAGCAGAGTAAGCAGCAACTGTGGCCTGAGATCAATAAAATCGTTACCTTGTAAATCCGATAATCTGCCGGCACAAAAATGGTAGGGCTATGGAGAGGTAAAATCCTATTTTAATTTTTAAGTTTGGGATAACCCAAAGAAGCAACATAAAACACATAATAGTTCCATGACAGCGATTCAACTGCCACTACACCGAGGTACTTAAAATGTTTCTGTTGTTTTAAAATTACCTTCCATTGAATATGTTGATGTCCCTGATATTTTTGAGTCGGCTTTCTGGGGCGCCATAACCATGGCCGGTTTCCATTTTTCCTATTTGACAAATATGGCCATTCCTAATGCTGAACCAGCTAAATTCCATTTTCTTTATCTTCTGACGTCGTTTTCTTTATTCTTTTGTTATTCTTTTATTATATTTTGTTAACTACCTGTCCCACTCATAGGATCCACAGCACATAAAGGAGCTAGAATCTCTTCCATGGAAAAAAGTTGAAGTTCCACAGTGCCATGGAGGAATGTCTTTAATTGATTTTAACCCCCTGCTAGAAGCCATTGTGGAATACATGAAGGACATTTACCCCGCTACCCCAGAGGAGTTTAACTTTCAGGCTGAACTGAAAGTTGTAAGTCACTGGCACTGGCGCGAAGACAAAGAGTTACCCCGACGTAAACCAGGTCCTCGTGAAGACTTCCGTATAAAGAAGGCAGTAAAGGAAACACTTCGGAAATGGTGCAGAGATCTAAGGGATCTACAGTCAAAGAAATTGGACGAGAGTCTTGAAGAATACATATCAGGTGAGTCCTGATGATGAAGGCAAAAAAGTAACCATACATATACATAAGAAATCGGCAGTGGTTTAGGGTGGTCTGTACTCTGAGGTTGCGCCTTGTAGGTCCATGATATTTTAACCACTGTGATGACGAATATCGTTGTCGATAAGAAACCGATCACACTAAACAATTGTCCATTATTCCCGCGTGGAATAAAACGTTTCTTTCAGGGATTCGTACATTCAAAGGCATTAAAAAGGTTTTAAAAATGGTGTCTTACACGACGGGTCTGTGCCCAGGTATTGATACTGATCGCGAAATCTGTGCCGATCGTTAAATGTTACATCCAATGCGTAACCTTAGCTCAAATGTTTAAATTGATAATGAATGCTTTCCCTGCATTCAGGTCTTATATTCGTACCTTAAACCCAGGGAGTTTTAAATCTGTTCCTCTGAATATTGGCTTTTGCCAATAAAACATTTCTTGCCGACATACAAATGTTGACAAAATGTCGAAAGACGGCTACCCATGATTTTTCTCTCGACACGAGAGCCAAGCAAACTCAAACTCTTACTAAGGCTGGACCATCCCTCTTGTGAATAAACTTGGCAGCGAAGCCAATGATAAATAAAAGCTGACATATAACACACACTAAATAGTTTGACTCTGAATTGCAAGGGAAACACTTTTCAACTAATCCAGACACGCGGTGTTTGCCAATCATCGCTTGACACACAGGCAAACCTTCTAACTCATGACTGCACACAGTGTCTGTAAAGCAATCAATGTTTGACACAAAAGCAAACATTTAACACACAGCTTGTGCCAAGTAACCAACGCTTGACACACCAACAAACACTAGAATAAGGCGACACACGGCGCAGAAAATATATATGCTTGACACCTCAACGGCCGGTTTGATTCAAGCCGTGTGATCGAGAATAAGACGAACATGAGGTGAACTAAAGAGAGAACATATGCACCTTTGAAATTCCTTGCCTGACTGTTATTCTTGCTTTGTTTCTGCTCCCTCTGCGAACCGTGAAGCTGCGGCTGATCGCCCTGGGTCAATAGCAGGAACTCGTAGTGGCCAACGTTTTTAGCTCAGCAGTAGACGGTTCTTGAGGAAAAACCATAATTTAAAGTTTTCCTCCCCTTTCTTGACGGTCATAAATGTCGACTCAGCATAGTTTTAATATTGTATTGAATTGAAAGGCACATCAGTGCACATCAGTTTAGATTCAGTTCTATAGAGTAAAATGAGAAAGAAACTCTAACTGATGAACGAGTGACCAGGCAACTAAGAAATAGCATTTCTAAGAATTGCGATTACTTTTCGCTTGTCTGGAACAGTTGTGGGACTGGGAGCGAAGCTTACCTACATAAGCTAAATAGATGTGCGGCAGGCGTCGTTGAAGGTCGGTCTATCGAGGCTGAGGAGTTAAAATCAAGACTTCCCTGGCCCAGCCTACAAGCACGCAGAAACTATCTCAAGTGCTTTGTAGTCCATAAATGTTTCACGGAATAGCGCCTTGGTACTTACTTTCAGAATTTAGGCACGCACACTTTTTCCTGGCTACAACACCAGAAGAAGTTATTTAAAGCACTCTCCCTTTGCAAAAAATGCTAAGCGTAAAAAAACTCCTTAATAGCAAGGAAGCCTCAGAAAAAAATGCTGCTGAGACCTATAACACCCTTCCATGAAACATTAGACAAGTAGAGACGCTTAGCGGATTAAAAGTCAAACAAAAGCATCATCTTAAACAATAACTCCTGCGGCACATGTTGCCTTTAAAACTTAATTTATTGTCTAGTTTAATGTTTCGGTGCCTATGTTGTGTTGTTTCAGGACTTCACTGCGTGCTCCATTTAAACTAGCCCTACTCAATTGGATGCCCCTAGATAAATATAAGTATGAATAAAAGATAAAAAAAGAAATCCAGAAGTTCTACCGATACACAAGAAAACTGAACTGAGGTTACAGAGCAAATTCCCTCACTGCATTTCAAAATAGCTAACCTTCAGAAAAGAAGTGATCGTTTGTCTTCCATTTACTCAACTTGTGTGGTATGCACTAAACAATTTTCATCTTTGGTAACTTAATTTTGGTACACCGAATCTAATTATCCAGGTTTACCATATATTCTTTTCATCTTGCTGTGTTCTGTGTAGGTTTGGAGGAAGATATTTTTGCTCTGAGAGCGTATTTCAAAAAAGAAGGTATGCTACTAATACCATCTAATCATCTTTTTAACATGCATTGCGATCGACCAGAATTGTTTTTGCTAAAGTTTCTAATTAACAATACATACCTTATACAAATTACATTTAATTCTAACCTTATTTTCAATCCTAACTATGCTTATATTGTTCTTTATATTGTTTCCCTTTCCTTTAAATTTGTGGTCATAACAAAATCTTTTACTTTTCACGCTTTTGAAAAATTCCACATCTATATATTCAAGCCTCTACACTTTTACGTGACTTACTAAATTTGACTCCACTCAGTCCTATTGCCATTACTAATCTCTGGAACAAAATCCCAGTATACTTAAAAAACTGAAACACCTTCTATTTTCTAAGAAACACGGTATTTGCCGTCTGTTTACTGTTATGGAATTTTCAACATAAGGTTCTAGGGTGCTAAAGTTTTGAATGATATAAATGATGACATAAAGCTTCTCCTTAAAACGATTTAAGAAAAAGTGTAAGTCAATTCTTTTTGCTCAAATATTAATCGCAGATTTATCAAAATTATATTCTTTCTGGCTTTCCTCAGTTTTATACTGGCATACTTAGCTTTCTTTCGTTGTCTTTATTTTTCTTTTAGCTTTTTTTTCTTTTTTCTTTTTATTATTGCTTTTTAAATGACATTTATTACCAAAGGGAATAAATTATTTTATGCAGCCTACGCTACGTTTTATCATTATCCCGGATGGGTTACATCCGGGACTTCCAATGACAGATACTTAAACATCCGAACATGTGATTTCCAGCCTCTTTTAGTTAAGCTTTGGTGCAGGGCAAACATTGTACAACACTCGGTTATTGGCAAGCGAGCGAGAAGCATAAATGTGTTTTTTTTTTTCATTTTGTGTTTTGTGTAGTGTGTGTGTGTGTCTGTGTGTGTGTGTGTGTGTGTGTGTGTGTGTGTGTGTGTGTGTGTGTGTGTGTGTGTGTGGTACCTGACCCTTTAATATAATCATTAATTAATAACCTAAGTAAGGCTTCCCTCTCTCTTTAGGGTTAATATATGTCCATTGTTAAGTCTAGCAGTCAATGTTTTGAGCCGTTTTACTGCTAACAGCTGGTAAATAAGTAACTAAGTAAGTAAAGACTTTGTTTCATGAGGGTTAGCACGAAACAGTCGGAACTAAACTTGTGGCCCTCTGAATATTAAAAAAATAATAATAAAATTTTAAAGAAGTATACTAAGCTATAAAAAAACAAGATAAAAAATTAGAAATACAGATACTATAGAAACTATTAAACTATTTAAAAGATAAAATATAGCATTATAATCATGTCACACCTCATCTAGTAACTTAAATAGAAAAATGATCAAGATTCCGCTGTTCTTTAAAAAACTCATTCTACAATGATTTTTTTAAAGAATCCATTATTTAGACCATTGAGACCCTCTCCATCGCGGCTATTAGCGGCATGAAAGGATAACTCGGGATTTATTTTCCTTTAGAATTGGAAGAAGATGAAACAGAGGGTAAGGAATACTCCTTGGAACAGCGAGCAGATGAGGGTGTGGATGGCACAGTGGATATGGAATGGACTGAGGTGAGATCAGTGATAAGACGCTGATGTAACCCTCATCCTTTTAACACTCTTTTCACATGTTCTGGCGAGAATTGCTTACAATTTAGAGATTGTTTAAAGGGACAAAAAAACGGATAGCGGGTATCGATGACGACGAACTTATTACCAAAATAATTGTAAAAGGAGAATAATTGTAAGATATGGACAATGGTTATCACTAACTCGGTTAGGCTAAGAATCAGTTACAACAACTCTGTGTTATAAACGAACGGAAATACGTTTATCAATAATCTTTACGTGAGCAACCACTGTAAGCGGTCAGACAATTTCAGGGTAAACGTTTGAGCGGTAGAAACTAGGCTTTCGAACCAGCAGATTGCTTTGAGGAATCTCGGGTGAGAAAGTCACTGTCACTGCGCTTTATTACCAAGTTAGCTAGGTTGAGGGATTTGAATAATGCGAGAGAGAACCAAGTGACTATGCTCAACTTAAATCAGTGTACTTTCCTTTTGGTATTTTACTCCTTAACACCCTTTCAGAACCCCCAAAGACGATCTATTGAAAATGAAAGTTTATATGTTAATTAATTTGATTTATACAGGACAACGCATCAAATGGGGTGACAAAGTATATTCAAGCAGGTCTGGGACGGCGCTTGAATGGACACTTGCCTTCAGAGGTGAAAACATCACAAGAGAGAAGATCAAGGAAAACGGCGCGCCGCTAATCGAGTAACAGGGAAGAGAATAGGTTACAAGGAAGATCATCAAGAAAGAAATATTCATTTTGAATTTTGTTTTTCTTTTTTAGAAGATCTCATATTCGCATGCGTTTGTTTTAATCGGATAAGTATCGAATGCTCGTTGTTAGATATTCTTAAAAATCACCGTTTACGTTCTTTCCGGAGATAACTCCTGACCTGATGAAAAGTTCACGAAATAAATAAGACAAGTAATGTCTTAGAGTGACTTAAGGGTGTACACATTACTGCACTCTCGTCAGTTTTGACCCTTTTAATTGTTTCCTATGTTTCATATTTTGCTTTTGTACAATTTGTAACTGAATTCTTACTTCCTGCCTAAATGCGATGGAAGATTTCCTTTTAAAAAGGTACACGGTATAATAGATTTTCGAATACAATACAATACAATACAATACAAACTTTATTGACACTCCCTAAAGAGGGTTTTTCGGTGACAATGATCTACAAATTACTAAATTACAGTTGTACTAAAAAGTATAATAGCAAAATTAAGGAAGCTAAAATGTTGATAAATGTTCGCTAAAGTTACAACTAAGAGCGATGAGAAAGGAAAGCAGCAAGTAATTTGGCTCTAGGTTTACGCTTAAATCACGCGAAGAATTACAGAGTTTGAGGGTATTATCTAAACTGTTCCATAGACTTACTGTACTATAAAAGAAGGTCCTTTGAATACCTTTGTTTAATCAGATTTAATAAAACTAACGCTTAGCAAAATAAAAGAACTTACATATCGGTCCCACTTTCGTCAAAGGTTTCAAATGTTACAAATTTACCGAACTACTAAAGACGAATAGAGAAAGGACACTAAGAACACCATTTATATGCACGTGGGAATGCTAAAAAATGACGCTAAAGGATCGAGTTCTTAGAACAATAGATAGACAAATCAGCTTGAATAAATGTTGTAAATTAGATCGTAACTAAGAAGAAAAACGCTATCAAGGTAGTTGACATTGAGTACCCTAAACAAGCACAGCTTCGCGCCGAAAAAAAATTCGACACCTCTCGTTATGTGATACACTTTGAAAGGTAATTAAAACTATACTACTTTTAAGAGGAGTGACGAAATTACCCATTTATCTCTTAATTTCCACCTGAATTAGTAGATCCAACCCTTCCACTCTCGATTGAAGGTCTTCAGCTCAGTAGGTTTTTTTTGTTAGGTTATTCAGGGCATTTCCTCCAGGAAAGGCAGCCTAACATCTAAAGGAGAGAGGATTTAAAAGATGAGACATGCTCTTAAACGGGAACAGATCGATGGAAAGGTGTTTCACAATATCTTGGCTGGCGCGTAAAACAGAATTAGAAGAAATCCGGGAGGCTATGCGGCTACGTAATCATTTCAGGAAAAATGTTGAACATCATGTACGCAAAGTGAAAAACGCCTTAATCAGCTATACGAAACTCTAAGAGGACTCACTATACTATTTGGGCTAGTAATTATAAAACTGGACCAACTGAAATGATATCAATGAATCTGAGGACAGTGCCTGTTATTGCCACTGCGCACTCGAGCTGCGCATCACGCCGTGATTGTGCGAGCTCACGCCATGATCACGCGAGAGACAAGCTGCAGTGAAAGGGATGTTCACCCATTACAGGGGTCAAATACTGCGCATGCGTAAGGTTCTATAAACAACATGATGGACTTTCGAACGATGTTGCGGTCGTCGAAGAAGCAATGCTAATAGTTGTTTCTCGGATCTTTTCTGCCTTGAAGTAATCAGTTATGTGAAACCAAAGTAGTGAGTGCCAAAATTCAACCTTTTTCTCGGTTGATAGTGACAACCATTTCGTTTTAAAGTTGTAGTAGTCAAGGAAGTAGTTTCTTAATTTGGTGACACAGATCACTCAACATTGAAAGTGTACATCGGTCATAGTGATAAAGGTTCCAGATGCTGAATAGTATAAGAAATCGAAGTATAAGGGACTCATAATCCTCAAGCTTTGTAGATTTGAATGATACTGCACTATTCTGGAAAAAGACTAATGGAAGTACCTCCTCTAAGACGTGCAGGAGCAGACGTACTCTATGTCTTTTACACAGTTTTGTCTTTTACTTTATGCCTTTGCGAAATTCAGAGGTTTATTGTGACCTGCCTATATTAAAGACACTTTGTGTGTCTGAGATTCTGACAACTTTTCTACACTAATATTCCAAACAATTGAAGTGCAAAATTTGTATCATTAACTGTACCTACTAATTCAAGAATTCAATAACTCATTATTTTTCCTATTTAACCTTTCCAAACAAATGCAAATAATTGAGAATTTGAAAGCAGTGACTGACCAGGGTAACATCGTGTGGTCCAAAATGGGACAACAAAATCTACAGCTTAAAAGGATCTATGAAGGGACACTTTACCTGAAAAATAGGCAATGATGTGGAGTAGAGCTACTGTTCTTTGCTCTTTGAAGTCATGTCTGTAATTTGATGACAGAATTGAGGAGGATGTTGGTCATCAGTATGCTGGGCTATGAAGTTTCTCGTCAGCTTGGGGCTGTACAAGGGGGACCTTGGTCCTCTTCATAATACTCATAGAGGGCCGACTGAAACTGTAGTATTAGTTTTTCAAATTATTTTCCTGGAGAGGAAGATATGAGAGATGTCAATTGTGCTATTGAGGATAATTCATAAGGCACTTATTCCCTTGGATGTAAATGCAGCTAATGCTTGTTAAAAAAATGAATAGAAGTGTTCCATATATTGACCTTCCATCAGCAACATTCACGCTGAAAACAATCCAGCTCTTTTAACCGCCTCCCGGTTAGCTCAATCGATAGAGTGCTGGACTGTTTTGCGGAAGGTCGAGGGCTCGAGCCCCGGCCGGACCAACACTCAAGGTCTTAAAATAATTGAGAAGAGTATGCTACCATTCTATAACATCAAATAAATGGTTAGATATTCTAGTCTTCTCAGTAGGGACAAATAAATGGAGGTCTCGTGTCCTGCAGGGCTAGGGGTAGGAGACGTTAATTTCCCACGCACGAGATTACTGTGTGGTGGATGTCCTCCCCTGGGGTGGGATGGGTGGGTTTACTGGGCCCGCGGTAATTGACGCAAACTGTCGCGGTGTCCCTGCCTGTCGGCGAAGTTAAATAAATAAATAAATAAATAAATAAATAGTGCAGAAAATCTCCTGTCCCACACACCATTATCCAGCCTCACATTACCACTGTCATCCATCACAATGTTTCCATAGTGAGTCTCTATGATAATGTAGAACCCAAATGCACTGTCCATTCTCAAAAAAAGCATTTTCATGTTCCTTTCAGAACTTCCTAAGATTGCTGAAAGCCTTACAAGAGATGCAGAATTCTTAGCCAGATTCTCTTTTACCTCCTTCATTGAATCACAGTCTCATTACTGGGATGTAGAAATGCTGCATATCTTGGAAAAGTTGGAATTTTTAAAATGAGAATGATGATGACTTGGCATGATTAGTTTCCAAATTGCAATAATGTAGGAAATAAGAGAATATAAGACCAAAAATCAAAAGGAAGAGAATCTAGAGTGGGTCTGCAGGTGTGATTTCAAATGCCACTTCCCTTTAATTTGAGAAGAGAAAAAAAAAAAGATACGCAATTGACTTTATACGAAAAAATTCTATAATGACTATAATTTCTCTGTTATTACAATAATAATATTAATAATAATAACAATAATAAAACAACAAATAAAGCACTTATATGAGAACGATCCTTCGCAGTAAAGCACTATTTGAGCAATAGTGAAAATCAGACCTGAAAAAAATTTCAGGCCTGTACGGGACTCGAACCACTGACCTCTGCGATACTAGTGCAGCGCTCTACCAATTGAGCTAACAAGCCAACTGGGAGCAGGCCATCAAATTAATTCGATATAAACCCGTAGATGATAAATCAAACAACAACAAACATATGAAACATATGTGTGAACTGCGGTTATGAGACGTATATGAGAACGATCCTTCGCAGTAAAGCACTATTTGAGCAATAGTGAAAATCAGACCTGAAAAAAATTTCAGGCCTGTACGGGA